TCTCCTTCACTACACTGCATGTTTTTTTTGCTTCTATAAACCACAAGTGCAGAAAAGTTTTCAAAACTTTCAAAAAAGCTCAGTCAAACCAACATTAAAGTTTGTCTTGACAAACTTCACTTTCCTGTTTAAAAATGCCAGCTATATGAAATCATGCTTGCAACCTTAATTCAAATGCAAATCAAATTTAGAAAATGAACTTGAAAAAGCATAGGAATCTAAAAGGTATTTTTAATTCAATTCTTACTCAACTTGCACAACACAACTCTTGTAGTGAAATGTCTTTGTCACCAGAAGTCCATCGGTTTCAAGCTGAATTTGTGCAAGACTATATGTGAACGTATGCATCCTAATGTCAAAGAATGAAAACATCTGAGGAATTAAGGAGGAGGAAAAGAGAATGAGGGAGCGTCAGAGGAGAGAGGAGACACAGAAGAGCCCCTCTGGATTTACCCCGCTGTGTCATCAATGACAATCAAGCTCCTTCATCACATAACCCCCACCTGGATCTCTCTCTCTCTCTTGGACACACACACACACACACACACACACACACACACACACACAGAGTGACTTCCTTCACATGGATCACAGTCTTCCCTACTTCCTAGGGCTCTCTCATCTGCTCCCGTCATCTCATTATCTGTCACTTTTATCAGATCAAGAGTGTCTCTGTCTATCTGAGCGCCGCTCCACATGCCGCCGCCCTACTGCGTTCATAATTACGCCAGAAAATTGTTCCCACCTATAGCCTTTGTCTTCTCTCCTGCTCTTTGCCATCATTCTGCGGTGGAAATGTAACAATCTCAATTATCATTACAACTAACAGCTTCACCCCCTCATAAATCATATCAAATCATCCCAGTCTCTCCCTATTTCTCCTCAGGAAATGTGACAATATCACACTCTCATTTTGACTCTTTTTAGGTTTCTGCATTGACTGTTAAAGAGTACTTAAGTTCTGTCTATCCACTAGTGCTGTGTTCGATACGACGATGTATCGTCACAGAGATTTGACGATACGAGTATCGATACAGCTTTCCCTGTATCGATATTGTGGCACGTGTGCAGCAGTGGACCGCGCTTAATTTGAATACAAGAACAACGTTTAAAATTGAGCAGAAAAGTGCGAGGTTTCTAAAAAAATCATTAATAGAGCATAATACATAGGCTATCTGGTCGCTTTTCCACTGCATGGTACGCCTCGGCTCGGCACGGCTCAGTACGGCACGGCACGGCTCAGCTCGGCACGGTTTGCGTTTCCACTGCAGTTTAGTACCGCTTTACTGCTAGCCATCAGAGGTCACCCTTTCCATTTTCATTGACTCTCGCACTACACACTGTTGCATATCACCCCGGACTACATTTCCCATCATTCATTACACTGATTGCACACAGCACTGATTGCACACAGCTGTTTCATATCACTCACTCACTATTTAACACTCAGTCTCACTCCTTTCTAACTGCCGAGTATTGTTTAGCACTTATCGTTTTGATAGCTACTCTACGGAGTCTGTTTAGTTTACCCTGCCTTAGCTTAGTCTGCCTCGTCTGTTTTATTGGTTTCTGATCTTTGCCTGTTTTCCTGGATTTATCCCTCTAGTCTCGCCCTTGGTCAAGTCACAGCTGATCTTCCTGAGTTCAGTCAAGTCACAGCTGATCTTCATGAGTCAAGTCACAGTTGATCATCATGAGTCAAGTCTAGTCACAGCTGATCTGCCAGAGCCTCGTCACATCTCAGCCTTTCATCCAGAGCCTCGTCACGTCTCAGCTGTTCGTCCAGAGTCACGTCACGCCTCAGTTATTCATCCAGAATCACGTTGCATCACAGTTGATCATCCAGAGTCATGTCACGTCCTGTCTGTCACACCCAGATTCTCAAGGTCAGCCCTTCGGTATCCCAGTCTGGTAGCCAGTGTGAGGGATGCACCGCTGGTGTCTGCACGCACCGCTGGTATCCCCAAACCCACTCACTCTAACCCTTCTATTTATGAACTCATTCCCCTGTCTGCAGCACTTCCCATATGGGGGGTTGCTTTATGGTGTATCTGGGCCACGTACTCCACCGTTGATTTGCTAGAGGCAGCGGCACCGGCTACAACATCTCCAAAGGTGGCGGCTTACGCTGCAGAACCTCCCGAGGTAGCGGTGCCCGCTGCTGTGCTCCCAGAGGCCATGA